GAGCTCTATGTCCCCTTAGTAGGAAATGCTAGTGCACCTTGCTTCTGTGAGCGAATCCCAGAGCAAGGGAGGGGTTAAAGTAAGTTGTGGCTAAGCAGCAAAGACTGCTGTTCAGGCCTCCTGCTGTACAAGTCCTCCCTTGCAATACAGGTTGTCCCCTGGATGAAACTGAAGGGTGGCGAAGATTCCTCTGTTTAAACTGCTCCTTTTCTCACTTCTTCAGATCCTGCCTAGAGGCAGAGCCCCCAGCCCTGAGGTCCCCTGTGGGCCTCTTATCTTTGACTCAACAATCCATACTCCAACCAGGAACAAGCCCCTACTGACTAGGCTCTTTAATATTCATGGGCACATCTTACCATCCTGCCTCCTGCCTGGGGATTGTTCAAACTCTCGTGAATATTCAGAACACTATCCCTGTACCCTTGCCCACTACCTCCAGAATCAGGGGAGGTGACAGAGGCCTGATCTGCAGAGGCCCACAGACATATTCACTTTAGCTACCTATAAGCCTAACTAAAATTTACCTGACTATGTACACTAGAGGTGTGCTGCAGTTTCAAAGTCAAACTATCTTATAATTTGAGAGATCTGAAATCCCCCTCCCCCCAGGAAAAAAAATTATGTTCGCCCCTGTGATTGGAGCAACTCTATTTCCATCAACAATTTCCTGTAATACTCCCACAGCATTGCACATTGGCCACATGTCCAAACACTAAACAATTTCTACAGCAGAAAAAACTTACACAAGTTGCTATCACTCCCTCTTCCCATTATGTTGATATTAGGGAAACCCTATTACACCACCTGAATGCACAATTCCACTAGCATTTAACCGCTGCCTTTCTGACCACTATATGGCCTCTTTTACATGGGAGGACTCTGACAAGTGGATCCACCTGCTCAGCCAGATCTTTTAGCTGATCCTCACTGAGCAGGCGGATGACAAGTCCATATCCACATGTGCTTGTGCAGAGCAGACACAGCCTAGTGTTTTCTATGAAGCGATCAGATGTAAACCTATCTGACTATATGACTACCTATCTGTTTTACATATGACTGTCATGCCTTACGCTATATGAATGGGGAATGGATCCCCCTTGCATATGTTTTTAGCAACCTATACGGGCTGACATCAGTGTAACAGCAAGATGTGTCTCCCATGTAGATATGTCCCCCTGAAGCAACTGCACATGTCCCAGTTCCAACCGGGACATGCGCAGTTGCTTCAGGGGGGACATATCTACATGGGAGACACATCTTGCCGCTACACCGGATCCGCTCCAAGAAAAGGAAAGTTGTAAAGAAAGTCGACGATCCCCTCAGGATGGGTTGGATCTGCGGATTGAGCATAATGGATCGGAGTCCGATCCATTATGCTCAATCCGCAGATCCGATCCATTCTGCGGGGATCGTCGGAGGGAGGTGTCACCAAGTGTTACCGCACCGGGTGACACCAACCCTAGGGATGCCTCTGGTCTCCCCAATGCTTTTCAATCAATGCAACAAGAGATTCATAATTTGGGGTCACAATTGGGATACAACCTAAAATAATTAGAAAGGCTGTGTTTACGGAAACCTTTTTTGATGTTGTTAACATATTCCACTATTCTCACACCTAATTTTCTGGTTGTCCTACTCCCGTGTTTGAGCCTGCAGGGCACTCCAACAACTATGCGATGTGGGTATTATCCCATTAGGTTAATTTGTTGATATCATATTTTTTTCCAGTATCACTGGATTAAAAACAGTACTTTTCCTCCTCCTATTACATACTGTCTTACAAAGGACACATCATTCACAATAGAATCCCTTAGTATCCAAAAAAAATGTTTGATAATCTTTTCCAGTTTCTTATATTGCTGACTGAATTCATTAATAAACAATTTCTTTATACCAGAATCTTTCAATAAATCTGCTCTTTTCATGTTTTGTACTTTCCTTTTTATTCTTACCAACTCCCTTACTTTATAACCTTTATGTTTAAACCTGTCTATCAAGCTGTTTGGTTCTCAAAGTCCCTATCATCCTCACCGTTCCTCTTAAGCCTCATGAGCTGTCCTTTGGGAATAACCCCAATCCACTATGGAAATTATTAACAACTTTTATCCCACTGGTTATAAATACTTTTTTTTCCTCAGTAAAAACAAGAATATATTACATACACTGCTCAAAAACATTAAAGGAACACTTTGAAAACACATCAGATCTCAATGGGGAAAAATATCATGCTGGATATCTATACTGATAGGGACTGGGTAATCTGTTAGGAACGTAAGGATTCCCCATCATTTGATAGAAATGAAAACGATCAACCTACAGAGGACTGAATTAAAAGACACCCCAAAAATCAAAGTGAAAAAATGATGCAGCAGGCTAGTCCATTTTGCTGAGATTTCATTGCAGCAGCTCAAAATGGTACTCAGTAGTTAGTATGGCCCCCAAATGCTTGTATGCATGCCTGACAATGTCGGGAAATGCTCCTAATGAGAGACGAGTGTCCTGGGGTATTTCGTCCCAGATCTGGGCCAGGGCATCACTGAGCTCCTGGACAGTCTGAGATGCAACCTGGTGGCATTGGATGGACCGAAACATGATATCCCAGAGGTGTTCTATTGGACTTAGGTCAGGCAAGCTTGGGGGCCATTCAATGGTGTCAATTCCTTGATCCTCCAGGAACTGCCATACTCTCGCCACACGAGGCTGGGCATCGTTGTGCACCGAGATGAACCTAGGACCCACTTCACCAGTGTAGGGTCTGACAATGGGTCCACAGATTTCATCCTGATACCTAATGGCAGTCAGGGTGTCTAGCCTGTAGAGGTCTGTGAGTTCCTCCATGGATATGTCTGTCCAGACCATCACTGACCCACCACCAAAACGGTGATGATGAACGATCTTACAGGCAGTGTAATGTTCTTCACAGCTTCTCCAGACCCTTTCACGTCTGTCACATGTGCTCAGGGTGAATCTGCTCTCATCTTTGAAAAGCACAGGCCATAGTGGCAGACCTGCCAATTCTGGTGTTCAATGGCAAATGTCAATTGAGCTCTATAGTGCCAGACAGTAAGCATAGGGCCCACTAGAGGATTCAGGCCATCCTCATGAAGTCCGTTTCTGATTGTTTGATTCATTTGGTAGGGCTCTGGCAGTGCTTATCCTGTTCCACCTTTCCCAAAGGAGCAGATACCGGTCCTGCTGATGGGTTAAGGACCTTTTATGGCCCTGTTCAGCTCTCTTAGAGTAACTGCCTGTCTCCTGGAATCTCTTCCATACTCTTGAGACTGTGCTAGGAGACACAGCAAATCTTCTGACAATGGCACGCATTGGTGTGCCATCCTGGAGGAGTTGGACTGCCTGTGAAACCTCTGTAGGGTCCAGGTATTGCCTCATGCTACCAGTAGTGACACTGACCCTAGCAAATGCAAAACTAGTGAAAAACAGCGTGAAAAGATGAGTAGGGAAAAAAATGTCAGTGGACTCCACCTGTAAAACCACTTCTGTTTTGGGGGTTGTCTCATTGTTGTCAAGTCCACCTGTTGTTAATTTAATTAACACCAAAGCAGCTGAAACTGATTAACAACCCCCTCTACTGCTTAAATGACCAGATCAATATTCCAGGAGTTTAACTGACTTGATGCTATACTCTGATTAAAAAGCGTTCCTTTATTTTTTTTGAGCAGTGTAGTATATAGGGTGCCCCGATATGGTGACCTTGGGTGTAGGGGGTGGTTCCTTTTGGGAATAAATACAGAAAGATGGTGGCCGGAAGTCCTAGCTCCTGAGGATGTAAATTTTTTATGACAAAACATGTTGGGCTTCTTCTCCTTTTCATGTTCTCATATTTGTCTGACTTTTTATGTATTCATTTTGTCCCTTCCAATTCTATTGGCTATTTGGTTTTAACTATGACCCTGTGGAAGGGATATTGTATTGATACCAGATTGATATGCAGATTTTCTTATGTTCTTTCTAGTCTTGATGAAGGGGGGAGCTCTTGGACCCCTTGTGACGGGAGCGTAGGCAGGACAGAACACACAAAGAAGATGGTAAACACACAAAGCTTTATTGAACTATGAAAGGCACTCAATCAGGACAGTTCATGGCACTATGCAACATGCGGCTTGTTGGGACACCAACAGCAAGCGGGCTCATGGGGACTCAAAGGGACCTTGGCGATGGGGTCTGACGTCAGCACAACCCCCACACAGCTGACTAGGGACAACATCAGGCTCATGGGGACTCAACGGGACTTTGGCTGTGGAGTCTGGTCTCAGCACAGCTCCCACACAGCTGACTAGGGACAACATCAGGCTCACGGGGACTCAGCGGGACTTTGGCTGTGGAGTCTGGTCTCAGCACAGCTCCCACACAGCTTACTAGGGACAACATCAGGCTCACAGGGACTCAACGGGACTTTGGCTGTGGGGCCTGGCCTCAGCATAGCTCCCACACAGCTTTCTAGGGACAACATCAGCTTCACGGGGACTCAATGGGACTTTGGCTGTGGAGTCTGGCCTCAGCACAGCTCCCACACAGCTTACTAGGGACAAAATCAGGCTCACGGGGACTCAGTGGGTAGCGATGGCTCAAGCACTCAGGGGGGCAGTCCAGGTAACTATACTCCGGGCGCGCCATGGGGACAGTTCAAACAAGGGTAGTCTGAGTGCACAATAGGAGCAGTTCATGACAAGGTTGGTCTGAGCACACAATAGGGGCAGTTCATGACAAGGGTGGTCTGAGCGCACAATAGGGGCAGTTCATGACAAGGGTGGTCTGGGCACACAATAGGGGCAGTCCAGGGCACTCCGCAACATGCGGCTTGTAGGGACACTCACGGTAGGCGGCTTGCAGACAGTCAGCAGCAGGAGGCTTGTAGGGACACTCAGCAATGGACAGCTTCCAGAGACACTCCCAGCGGTCAGCTTCCAGGGACACTCGGCAACAGACAGCTTCCAGGGACACGCAGCAGCAGTCAGCGTGCAGAGACACTCAGTAGCAGGTAGTGTGCAGGGACACTCACAGCGGTCAACTTCCAGGGACACTCAGCAATGGACAGCCGCCCTCACAGCAGCCAGCTTTTCAGGGACAGCAGCGATTAGCAGGCAGGGGCCCTCGCAGCAGCCAGCTTGCCAGGGACAGCAGTGGGAGTCCTGGCTGTGGGATCTGACCTTTGAGGAGGAGGGGTCTCCTGCAGAGTGCTCAGCGGGGATGGCTGCGGAGGCCCGGTCCCCACCCGGACCTCCCAACGGAACAGCTGAGGCAGAGAGCACAGGAGGAAGAGACCGGCCGGCTCCTGAGCCGGCCTTTTAAACCGCCCAGGACGCTTCCGGGTTGCCCCGGCAATGGCCGGCCCAGCGCCGCCCCCTTGACTTGGGCCACGCTTTCGTGAGCACGGCCTTTGTCACTGGTGTGCGCAGAGCATGGAAAGCCCCTGTGCCCATGCTGCGTCCGTCAGGGCGCGCAGAGACATCTTGGCGGTCTGCTGCTGGGGTCTGGCGGGGGGGTCACAGCTCTTCTGCCTAGATTGCCAGATGAGCTGTGATCCTCGCCACATGGGTCCCTCCCATCATCCTGCACATCCTGGCTTCAGAGGCTGTGTGTAGGATGAGAGGACACGGCAAGGGGGGAGGAGAGGAGAGAGTAAAGGGACGGCAGGGCACACCATGAGACCCCTGAAATGTGTTGGCTACTTTTTGGATTATACCCCTGAATAAAGTTGTATCTGGACCTCTTAGCAGTGTTGTGGTACTTCTATTTAACCACTTGCCTACCGGGCACTATTGCCCCCTTCCTGCCCAGAACAATTTTCAGCTTTCAGAGCTTTCAGAGCTCTCCTACTTTGAATGACAATTGTCTGGTCATGCAACATTGTACCTAAACTAAATTTTTATCATTTTTTAGAGACAAATAGAGCTTTCTTTTGATGGTATTTAATCACCACTGGAGTTTTTTTTTTTTAAAAAAAAACTAAAAAAAGACCACAAATCTTGAAAAAAATAAGTTTTTCTTAGATTCTGTGATAACGTTTTGTAAATAAGTAAATTTTCTCCTTCACTGATGGACACTGATAGGTTGCACTGATGGGCACTGATGAGGAGTCACTGATGGGAACTGATAGGTTGCACTGATGGGCAGTGATAGGCGGCACTGATGGGCATTGTTAGGTGGCACTGATGGGCAGCACTGACAGGCAGCAATGATGGGCACCTATGGGCACTATTGGTCGCACTGATGGGGCTACACTGATCATCAGGGCACTGGTGATCAGTGCCCTGATGATAAGTGTAGTTGTCCCCCTGCAAAATGTTGCTTACCAGTTTCTCCTCTTTTCACACGCTGCCAGCATGAGGATAGGATTGCTGATAACCTGAATTTTCTCTTTACCTGGTGATCAGCTGTGATTGGACACAGCTGGTCACATGGTAAAAGTGGCTGTGATTGGGCCATTCCTTAGTCCGAAGGACACAGCGATCACAGATCACGTGCAGTGCCCATCTCAGGAGGCATGTTAGGGGGTGTGGTTCTGAGAGGATGTCTATGGGCGCCCTCCCAGAACTAGGAGACACGATGTAGCCATCTTTTGGCTATTGCGCGTTCGGGAACTGGTTAAAGTGGGAATTTTTCAAATATCTTTTAAAATCCAGTTCAAATCAACTAAATAGATTGCTAGAATATATTAGTTGTTTGGGTGTGTACAAAGATCAGTCTAGTATCCTAATAATATATCTAATGGTATATTAAGATTCAGTGGAAACTTGCTTACAAGCCATTGCTTGCTTGCCAGCCTTGTGGAGATCCTCTGTGGTGTAGAAGCTGCCTGCTGAGAACCAGATCATTTACATCAACATTACTTTTTTAAGATAATAGTTCCAGCAAGATAACCCTATGGATTTTTATTATACATCCAGTGATGTTGCAGGCACACAGGTGTGCCTGTCTTGCAGTTCCAGTGCAGGAAGGGTTAACAGAAGTGATTCTGGTTTGAAAGGAGAGCTGATAGAATGAAAGTCCACTGTCCAGATAATAGATAACCATCCTATAGTTACTATACCATCCAGGGGCGGACTAACAACTCATGGGGCCCCCGGGCAATAGGGGATCATGGGGCCCCTGTGTCCTTGCCCAAACTCAAAAAAGCCTATGAAAAAGGTACCAGGGGCATCTCATGGGGCCCCTTACTGACCCTGGGCCCTCGGGCAGTGCCAGAGTTTCCATATGGTCAGTCCGCCCCTGGACTATCATCATGTTTTGGAGAAAACATTGGTTAATTTTTTGGGGAAAGTAAGGAGAGTACAGTTCTTGTTTTAGGGCCCAAAATCTTTCTGTCCATAACCATTCCAGTCTATAAAATGTACACGTATGCTTTGAGAGCCTGTGTAATCTAGGCTTCAGTTTAATAAAATTCTAACAGTATACCAGAAGTAGATCAAAGGTGAACTATTTACAAATGTATACTATAAATTCATAATCAAAGGGCATTGTTAGTATGTCATTGCTTTGTATTGGCTGAGTGATCGCAAATTTCTGCAATCATCTGTAAATCCAAACAAGGGAAATCACTAGGGTATAAAATGCTGTGTGAATGAAGCCAATAGATGCTTGGTCTTCTTCAGGGAAATTATTACACAACACATTCTGGTCACATCTAAACAACCATAATGAAGTGCATAATTGTCTCGGAAAAGTCTTGATTATCAATTGTCAGAATTTGGACCACCAGCGGGACTGATAGGTTATCCACTTGACCTCTGGCAGATTTTACCAGCTTCATGACCAGGTAAGTGTTTGCTATTCAACACTGCGCAATTTTAACTGACAATTGTCTGGCCGTGCAATACTGTACCCAAATTACATTTAAGTCATTATTTTCCCACAGATAGAGCTTTCTTTTAATGGTATTTGACCACCACTGGGTTTTTTTTATTATTATTCATCAAATAAAAAAGGCAGAACATTTTGAAAATAAACCAATATTTTAAATGTTCTGCTGTGAAACATATCCAATAATTAATTTAAAAAATCAAATTTAGGCCAAAATGTATTCTGCTACATATTTCTGGTAAAAAAAAAATTCCAGTAAGTGTATATTAATTGATTTGCATGAAAGTTATAGCGCCTATAAACTATGAGATATATTTTTGAATTTGCATTTATTTTTTTTAATACTAGTAAAGATTGTTATCAGTGACTTATAGCAGGACTAATGACACTGGCTGGGAAGGGATTAACATCTAGAGGCAGTAAAAGGGTTAACTGTATGCCTAACAAGTGTTTACTGACTGCTGATATTACTAAGGGATGTGACAGTATTTATACACTGTTTTGCAGGGAAACAAAACCCAGCACATTGCCACTGCCAGGACAGAGCTCTGTGGTTACAATCACGTATCCAGTGCAGAGCAGCCTGGGGTGGTCTGCAGCTGGTTATTGTCTGCATTGGTGATGTCCCTTTGCACTAAGGCTTCCTATTTATACTAGCAAGAAGGTGCAGGCATATGCCTAAAAGCAAGTCTGCACACTAATCCTAGAGTTTTAGAGTTAATAGGATCTCATTGGTAAGATTCTCCTTTAATATAAGAGCATGTAAGGATAACATACAGGTAACAAAGCTAACAAAAATAGAATAGGCAAATGTGAAAATGTGGCAAGACAAGATAAAAATAAAATCCTTATACGGCGAGACACCTTGAAAATCTAATATACAGGTCCCAGGTGCTGAATAGTTATCAGTTCCTAAATTGGCTCCAAATTACTCTTTGGAATGCTTGATATATAGGTCTTTTGAAAAATCTAAAATGCCCAAAATACTTTTCATGCACTAAATCACTGCATAGACTGTTCTACTGCTATAACACTTTATTTAAATTGCTAGCAAACATTGAAAAAATAGACAAGAAGACAAACATGACCACACTGTGTTTTGAACTTACTATGAAATGCCTATGTTTGCAGAAGTATAAAGTATCTAATTTAAAATGTAATTCATAAATGTGAGGTTTCTAACAGAAAAGCTTACTGCAAGTTTATAGAAAATCAAAGCAGTCCATTTCCTTTTATGTATGTTGAAATAAAATTGAAATATTTTCACCTCAAATAATTTTTAGCCTTGGAATAAAAATATTTTTTTTCCTGAGATAGCACGATTCCTACAAACCTGTAGATTAGCAATTTGTTATAGAAAATGACTTCTAAAGTAGACTGGTTGAAATATGTATTGCACCTTATGTAAAATACCACAATTAAAGCAGCACTTATATTTAGGTAATGATATAAAGTTGAGTTAACTTTGTTACTGGGATAGATAAATAAAGAGTATGAGAAGGTCTGTAACACTTACCTTTTCTAATGAAAATGCTTCTCCTGTTTTTCTTTCAGTATAGTCACCATATTTTGTTTATGGAGAAACAGCCAATTTGAGTGTTCCTTCTCTTTTTTAAGGTCAAGTCAAGCCCAAATGTTTTTTCTTCTTTTACGTTTTTAGTTTAAAATAGTAAAAGATAGGGATCCAGTCATATATATATATATATATATATATATATATATATATTTATATTATATATATTTATTTATATTTATTTATCAGGATATCATCATTTCCATTTTAAAGGCAGTACATTTGCTTGCAATCCATTACAGATAGAACATAGAGAAGGGAATAAAGGGGTTGAAAGAAAGGGAAAAAGGGGGGGGAAAGGCAAAGAGGGAGACATGAGGGAATCCACTTTAGGTTTCTATTTCATGAGACTAAGAGCAGAATTACACTTCCAATGGAGAGGACTGAATGTTTTTGCTGCATTATTCAATTATTAATGTAGACATTTTTTGTAGGAGCAAGTTGACTCCTTAGAGGGAGTAACTGAGAGAATCATGTGGGTGGTTTCCCCCAGTGATATATGTAATCCAATTATGGATTTGTGACCAGAATGGTTGAATGATAAGGCAGCTCCACTAAATATGGAACATAGAACCAACCACTGAGTGCTGGTGTCTTCTATCTGGGGCATCTTTATGGGAATTTCTCTATTACTTTCTGTCCTCTTTTACAACAGTTTAATCATAGAGAAAATGAGAGAAAATCTGGCACAGGGACACAGACATTAATGAAACCTCTTAGGGTACTTCCCCTAGTATACTTTTTCTGTCTGTGTTTCTGTTGGAGAGTTCCCTACACTTCCTGAGTGATAAAACATTATTTGCAGGACAGGGTAAATGTGGGTAAATCTGGATATTTGAACCCTGGATAGCAGTTAAAATCTGACAGGGGTTTTGGACCTTGTCTACTAATTGACATACACTTTAAACAGAGATCATGTGACCAAGTGCCTAGGTTTTTACACATGTGACCAACACTGATGGAAACCCATAGAAGCATTTTGTCCAGGAAAGGTATTTCATTTCCAAATAGTTTTTATCATTTTCAATAAGAAAATACCAAGATACACAAAGTTGTAATAGGAAATAAGGCAAATGAATTGCTTTGAACATAAGCAAGTATATACAAAAAGGGATAGCTACCGGGGGGGCGGGTTAACTACTGTATGTGCAAA